GATTCTTCAGCTAATGGAGTACCTTCTGAGGCATCTGGCATTAGCAGTACTTAAAATAATACTGTATTATCATTTTCATGAAAGGTACCGACAGGACCTTCATGCAACTGGTAAGTGTGCAGAGGGTTTGTGGCAGTACGCCATTAAACTTGACCCATGCTTGGTGGTACACACTTTGGCCTGTGTGGCCAACCATCAATGACACCCCGCTACTCCCTTTGGGGATGGTGCGGTGATGTGGGCTCTTCCCATAACTCTCTTCGGACAGATGGGTGACTGTTTTATTTATTTATATATATTATTATTAACAATTATATATATTTATACGTCAGCTATAGCTGGCCAAACGACTGGACTGAACGAGCTGAATTTTCTTGAAGGAATCCATTGGTATCCTGGGAGTAACAAAAGCTAAAAAAAATCGAAAATCGGATTTTTTTTTCAGAAATCGATTTTAAAAAATTCAACGGCTAGCGCCAGGCACCTAATATATATATTATATTATATGAACTGTAGATATTATATTACCTCAAACATTTTTGCATCTAGAGGGTCTCCCTGGAGTTGATTATTGATGATAGTGAGGCTGTGACACGAGGCCAGGGACCAGAGGAGCACGTTGTCATCTTCTAGTTTTGTTATGTCCTCTACAGTCCCCTGAAACTCGGAGGATAAAGCAGGGAGGACAGATTTAAAGTCTAGGCCGTCCTCTGTCAATGTTCCAGTCTGGAGAACGCAAATTATTTTTTTCTTCTATAAATTCTAAAGTAGGACAAAACTCTAAACTTAAATTTGAATTCTTTTGTTTAAAATTAAATCTTCCGAACTTTTTTAAAATTTGAATAATCTTGCTTTCCTTGTCGAAGCAGATAAGTTTGAGTTTTCCGCAAACATTGATCCTAGCTGGAGATATACAGAATATTCCTTTCTTCTTCAACCGGTTCTAAAATAATAATTTTATTAGAAGGTTTTTAATAGTTCGTCAGGGTTATTCATTTAACCAAAAAACTGTCTCGGTATAAAATTGGACATTTCAAAATAATTAGCTAGGGAAACTTTTTCTTCTAAAATTCATTTATTTTACTCCAAAATTTGTTTTGTTTTGTATTTTTATTACTAAATATGCGAGTTTTTTTTGTCATAATAAATGTACTTATGAAAATGATTATTGAAACATATCTTTAACATTTAATAAAAGCCTGCTTTTATTAAACCAGAGGAACGCTGCATTGGGGTATGGGGAAAGGAAAAGTTTTGTGTTCACATTTGACTATAGAGGTTTTTGGACTGCTCCGAGTTTGTTTATTTACTGTCAAGTTGTTTATTTTTGTAAAAACAATTTCTGATCAATTCAAATACATCACAGTGAAATGTACCTTTCTTATATACTATCTTGAATTCTAAAATTTTTCTACAAAATTCAATCCACCCCAGCTAAGACCTTTCTCGTGGTTCTGCGATTACCAAGTTTCCTAATCAAATATCTGTCAAGGGGTTCATGAGTTATGGTCGAACGTACATACACCCAAACAGACAAACAAAGCTTACTACTTTATAACATACTAGCTTGGAAACCCAGCTTTACCTGTAGAAGTCAACCTACTCAACTTTTAATCTTGCTAAAAACATTCTTGTAGTTCTAACGAGTTCCCCAATCATAATTTGAGGCTAAAACTTGTCAAGGGTTTCGTGATTTATATTCAGACAAACAAACGAACGAGCAAACAGAGATTACTACTTTATATAATTACTAGAAATTCAAGGCGCTTCGCGCCCTTCTTTCTAGCCTTAGAGGGCGCTTCGCGCCCATCTTCTAAATTAGTTGTGAACATGTTCTCTTTGTGTACATCGTAAAACAAAACAAAAATAGTTCGCGGATTTTTACAAAAAATTTCGCAGATTTTCAAAATTTTTAAAAATTTAATGACGATCGAATTTTGATAGAGACAAATATTTGAAATTTTGATTTTTCATAAACCTTCCCTGGGGTCCCTAGATGTCCCACAAAAAATTTGGGCCCGATCGGTTCAGCCGTTTTGACGTTTATTGGATACAAACAAACAAACAGACAAACAGACAAGCCAAATTTATATATAGATATATTCAAGCTTTACCTGGGCGTAGACAGTCCCTACTGTCATAGCTGCCGGGAGAGCAGGAGGAACAACTATAGTTATAATATCCAGGGTTCGTAGCAGGATCATAGATATATCAGCTCCACGCTTTATGTATACGTATGTACAATAAACCATTCCTGGAATATTAACTTTAAAAATTATCATAAATATTCAGCATCTAGAATTAAGAGTCTTCCTGAGAAGAATGTTAAAATATAAGACTGCTTAAACTACTTGAGTGATTTGTTGGCCTAGAGTAAACATAATAAATATTTATATCACATTTAAAGAGAAAAAATGAGTGTGTGTGTGTTTCTAAAGGAGGTATAGCTTAAAGTTAATAATAGTTCGTATTGTCTGTTGTGTACTGTACAACTGTAGTACATGCCCACTGCTCAGTAAGCAGACAGCTAAAATTAACCAAATTTAATTGCTGAAAGGAGATTTGTTGCATCAAGTGGCGTAAAATGGCAGTAATACATATTGTTCAGAGACACTAGTCCGAGAATGGCCCATATGACTAAGAGCCTTACATTTGTTTAGAAGTCTTAAATATTTAGTCTATACTCTATGAATGTTTCATATTCACGAACGCTCTCTTTTAACACTTTGAAAAGATTTATAAATCCTTCTTTCACTGACCTATTGCAGCTATACAGAATAGAACCAAAATAAACCGAACTGAGTCTCTATAGAACTTGAAGTCCATTGGTCTAGGGAACAGAATTGACCGGATGAGTTCACCCTGTGCAACAGACAAGTTGATAAATATTTAGAATGTAGACTTGTACTAGCTGGAGTCTAAAAGTGTTGATCTTGACTTGATCGGAGTAAATGCTCGGATCATTTCCGGATCAGGGTCCTTTAAGTTTTTAACTGGTTTAAAGCCGGTCTGAAAAGGTAATCAAGCTTTTAGCTCGAAGCATTGGTCAAATCGGGATTTTAACAGGAAATTATTTTGATTTAAAATTTGGTGTTGATGATGCCCAAAGAAGGTGTTATTTCAACATTTTTTGAAGAAAGATCGGTCTGGGTTGACTCTCTTCAGTTCTTGAGATTTTTTTCTGTCATGAAGATTATGATTTGAGGACGGGCCTGAATATAAGGTTTTTAAGTTAAAATTATTTTGACCAATTTAAATTTAAAAAAAATGAAGTTCTTCTGATCAACGCAATGTGGAATATATAATATCAACTCTTCCCTTTGATGTTAGAAACCCTGTTCTCACTACCACAGCCACCACCTTAAATTGAACATTTTATTTTAGATTCATAGAACTACATTATTTATACTTCTCTAATCTAAGAACACTGCGGAATGAATGCCATCTTTGTTCTTCTTTTTACTTAAGAAATGTCGCCAAGGAATTTGATTTTAAAAAAATTCCGGGCCTATTTAAGAAATAGTTCAGTTTACAACACCTGAAGTAATATTTCTTGATTAGAAACAGAAGAAAAGACGAAGATAATTCTGGTTCTTATTTAACTGCTGATCTCTCTTGATCCTAGATCTATATCACTTTACAACCTATTGCCTTACATCTTACTCTCCATATATGTCCATTACTTTCTGATTTCCGTAGAATCTAGTTATTTACCTCCTGGTCCCGTAGAACCTAGTAGTTACCTCCTGGTACCCGTAGAACCTAGTAGTTACCTCCTGGTCCCCGTAGAACCTAGTAGTTACCTCCTGGTCTCCCTAGAACAAAGTAGTTACCTCCTGGTCTCCGTAGAACCTAGTAGTTACCTACTGGTCTCCACAGACCCTAGTAGTTACATCCTGGTCTCCGCAGAACCTAGTAGTAACCTACTGGTCTCCGTAGAACCTAGTAGTTACCTCCTGGTCTCCGTAGAATCTAGTTATTTACCTCCTGGTCCCGTAGAACCTAGTAGTTACCTCCTGGTCCCCGTAGAACCTAGTAGTTACCTCCTGGTCCCCGTAGAACCTAGTAGTTACCTCCTGGTCTCCGTAGAACAAAGTAGTTACCTCCTGGTCTCCGTAGAACCATGTAGTTACCTACTGGTCTCCACAGACCCTAGTAGTTACCTCCTGGTCTCCGTAGAACCTAGTAGTTACCTCCTGGTCTCCGCAGAACCTAGTAGTTACCTCCAGATCTCCGTAGAACCTAGTAGTTACCTCCTGGTCTCCGTAGAACATAGTTAGGTTTCTTCTGGCCACAGTAGAAAGTTACCTCCGGGTCTCCGTAGAATCTAGTTAGTTTCCTCCTGGTCTCCGTAGAACCTATTTAGTTACCTCTTGGTCTCCGTAGAATCTAGTCTGTATAACATGTGTTCCAGCAAAGATGGTATGACGATTATGAACTTCTGGATTGTATGGTTCGTCTGAAGCTGCATCAAGATGAGGAACTGCAGACTTAGTTACAGGAACAGATTCTCCTGAAATTCAATATTATGAAAATATTTCCAAAAAATATGATATTTTAAATTCTGAAATAGCTTGTAGAAGTGGAGTTACATTTTGGTGATAAACCTTTGTATATCAACACTTCATATCCCATATATATGCAATACACATTTCTCATGATAAATATAAATCTAATCTAATCTTTATCTTTCATCACCTGTCAGCATGGCTTCGTTAACTATTGCAGTACCAGTCAGAAGTACCACATCACAGCTCATTGTACAACCAGTTTTAGGTAGAACTGTAAACAGATTTAATTTTGTACAACCAGTTTTAGGTAGAACTGTAAACAGATTTAATATTGTACAACCAGTTTTTTAGGGAGAACTGTTGTGTAAACACAATTAATATTGTACAACCAATTTTAGAAGGAACTGTAAACAGAATTAATATTGTAAAACCAGTTTTAGGTAGAACTGTAAACAGAATTAATATTGTAAAACCAGTTTTAGGTAGAACTGTAAACAGAATTAATATTGTACAACCAGTTTAAGGTAGAACTGTAAACAGAATAAATATTGTACAACCAGTTTTAGGTAAAACTGTAAACAGAATTAATATTGTAAAACCAGTTTTAGGAAGAACTGTTGTGTAAACAGAATTGATATTGTACAACCAGTTTTAGGTAGAACTAAAAAACAGAATTAATATTGTACAACCAGTTTAAGGTAGAACTGTAAACAGAATTAATATTGTACAACCAGTTTAAGGTAGAACTGTAAACAGAATAAATATTGTACAACCAGTTTTAGATAAAACTGTAAACAGAATTAATATTGTACAAGCAGTTTTAGGAAGAACTGTAATGTAAACAGAATTAATATTGTACAACCAGTTTTTGGTAGAACTGAAAAACAGAATTGATATTGTACAACCAATTTTATGTAGAACTGTAAACAGAATTAATATTGAACAACCAGTTTTAGGTAGAATTGTAAACAGAATCAATATTGTACAACCAGTTTTAGGTAGAATTGTAAACAGAATTAATATTGTACAACCAGTTTTAGGTAGAACTGAAAAACAGAATTGATATTGTACAACCAATTTTAGGTAGAATTGTAAACAGAATTAATATTGTACAACCAGTTTAAGTTAGAACTGTAAACAGAATTAATATTGTACAACCAGTTTAAGTTAGAACTGCAAACAGAATTGATATTGTACCACCAATTTTAGGTAGAACTGTAAACAGAATTAATATTGTACAACCAGTTTTAGGTAGATCTGTAAACAGAATTAATATTGTACAAGTTTTAGGTAGAACTGTAAACAGAAATAAAATTGTACAACCAGTTTAAGTTAGAACTGTAAACAGAATTAATATTGTACAACCAGTTTTAGGTAGAACTGTAAACAGAATCAATATTGTACAACCAGTTTTTTAGGGAGAACTGTAATGTAAACAGAATTAATATTTTAACAACCAGTTTTAGATAACCAGAAATAATTTAATCTATCATAAATAATTTAATTTATTTCAGATTTTATATATTGTGCAACTCTTTTTCCAAAAAATGTATATTAAAATCTTTTTTAAAGAAATATGTTTCTGTTTGTCTCTTGTTAATTAAACATAAATATTATCTAACACATTTTACCTATAAGATCTCCAGGTACTAATTTAGCTGTATCCGTCTCTTCTACTATACTTCCTCGTCTTAATATACAAGTTTTCTCTCCACCTTAAACACATTATACTAGTCTAATTTCTTTCTTACAAAAATTCATTGATTTTAAAAATGAATTGGATTACGACGAGGGGTTTCATTCAAAGAAACTGTTTAAAGGGAGAAACTGGCTGGGTAAAGTAGTTGTACTGAGAGTGCAGAATTATAGTGACACATTTTAGGATTCTTTTAATACCTGTTTTTCCGGTATATAATTGAATAATTACTAAGTAAGAGCGCAAGTTCGTTCTTTAAGAATCACGAGGAAGGTTCATTTTTAGGGCTTGCTTTCAAGAAAAGATTAATAAACCTGACGAAAAACGTAACAACAATACTTCTATAAACAATTTGTTAATGCCAGCCACTCCCTTTCAGATAGGTGAAGACACCTGATCAAAACACGCGGTTTCAATTCTCTTCCTTCTCTGTTTCTTTCAACTTTTAAAAGTATAAGTATTATAAAGAATTATTCATACTATTAAAAATAACACTAGTGAATAAAACAAACTGACAAAAACTGTGAATCTTTATGAATTTTAGGAACATTGTTGAGCGAGCTGTAAGATTATCAGTTTTCTAATTACAGGAGAAATTAAAATAAATTTCAAATAAAGTTTGATTCTAAATAAGTCATTTTATTCTTCAATGTTTAGACGACCACTGGACCGCTAAAAATTAAGATAATTATTTAATTATTTTTAGAAAGAGACCTGCTGCCACCATAGCATGAAGGGATTCTGCTTGTCTTCTAGTTTCATACAAGGACACAACAACACTGTATAAATATTCAAGTAAAGAATACAAAATATTAAATTTAAATTATTAAGGAAAAAGTCCTGTTTAAGTAAAATTAACTTTTTTGTTCTTCTTAATAGCTCTCCATAAATTAAGAGGAGTTATGATTGAAAACATTTAAGATTTCAAATGAAGATTAACTTTAATTTTAATATGTATGATAAATCGATATAGAGTTGATTTAAAGAAGGGTCGGATTATTGAACAGCATATTAAGCTCAACCATGAAAAAATTTCCTAACCTTATTAGCGATATTATAAAGATACAGAGGGCGTAGTAGTAGTACTCATCCAGACTCCACAGGGTTATAGAACAGGTCTTAATATAAGAAAGGCTTATGGGCGCTTTGCGTCTTTGAATTTTGCTATATCTAAACACTTTTCTTTAAAAATAATTTTAGCCCTTTTGGTGTTTTCGAGATTGAATTTAGAAAAATTCACAACAATTTAAATCCCTTACTCCAACGTTAATTCGACTTTGTAAAAAAAATCTTTAGTAAGTAGGAAGTGTAACTGGAAGATTAGGAAGTGGACCTGAAAGATTAGGAAGTGAACCTGAAAGATTAGGAAGTGAACCTGGAAGAATAGGAATTGAAAATTGAGAAAGGGTATCTGAAAGATTAGGAAGTGTACCGGGAAGATTAGGAAGTGTACTTGGAAGATTAGGAAGCATACCTGGAGGATTACGATGTATACCTGGAAGATAAAGGAGGTGGAAGTAGAAGATTAAGAAAGTGTACCTAAAAGATTAAGAAAAGTGTACCTGAAAAATAAAGAACCGGAATAATGAAGATTAAGGAAGTATGAATGAAAGATAAAGTAAGTGTACCTGGAAGATAAAGGAAATGATCTTGAAAGATAAAGAAAGTGTACCTAGAAGATTAAGGAAGTGTATCTGAAAGACAAGGAAGTGTACCTGAAAAGATTTAGGAAGTGTACCTGGATGATAAGGAAGTGTACCTGGAAGATTAAGGAAGTGTACCTGGAAGATTAAGGAAGTGTACCTGGAAGATTTAGAAAGTTTACCTGAAAGATAAAGGTAAGGAGTGACCTGGGATTAGAAAGTGTACCTGGAAGATAAGAAAGTGTACATTGAAAATTAAGGAAATGTATCCGTAAGATTGAGGAAGTATACCTGGAAGATAAAGGAAGTGTATTTAAAAGATTAGAAGTGTATCTGAAAGATTAGGAAGTGTATCTGAAAGATTAAGAAAGTGTACCTGGAAGATTAAGGAATTGTACCTGGAAGATATATGTCAGGAAGTGTACCTGGAAGATATAGGTCAGGAAGTGTGTACCTGGAAGATATAGGTCAGGAAGTGTGTACCTGGAAGATATAGGTCAGGAAGTGTGTACAAGATATAGGTCAGGAAGTGTGTACCTGGAAGATATAGGTCAGGAAGTGTGTACATGGAAGATATAGGTCAGGAAGTGTGTACCTGGAAGATATAAAACGGATGAAGAACCTCCTCTACTAGTAAGGAAAGGTATGAGGGTATCTCCACCTCTATACTATTCTCTCCATGGAGCTGAACCAACCCCTCAGAAATATCAGCAGATAAACCCTTAACAGTATTATTAAGGTTATCATAAACATTTATCTCAATTTTTTTCATTATTATCGTAATCGGTCATCGATAAAGAACCCACTGAGGGTTTAAGTTTTCAGCTTTTGCTTATTGGCTTTTGACCTTAGCATTGTCTGTAAAACATCGGTCATTGGTTCTTTCTGTAAGTGATCTGTTTTTAATTATATCTGAATAATATATGTATATGGTCTTTTTGAGAATCATTGTTATCTTTGATCTCTTATTATTTAACGTTTATGGTTTATTTATAATTGATTATCGAGATAACACTTTCTTTGCATTTGTTATCGATTGTATTGGTCTTCTAATAATAAAAAATTTGTGATAGATATTCAGTTAACGATCATTGTGGCAATATATTTTAGTATACTTACTGTTCAGTGTTCATGTGTAGATTTAAAATTTATGTTGAAAGTCCTAATAATCATGGGAAATAACAGACCACTTATACGTATAGTTAATTTTTGTAGTGAATGAATGGCCTAGAGTGTATCAAAAGAGTTATTCGTTTTACAAGCTTCCAAAAATGTGGTCTTCTTAATTTTTATATTTTAAAATACAGAAAGTATAAGATTGGTATTTTTGACTGGATCTAGATTTTAAGCCAGGTATGGATCTAAGAGATTGAAAAGGTCTCAATTCTAATGTATACTGGAGTTAACTCTTTACCTTAGAAAACTGTTCCAGTAGATTACAGATTGATGTTCCACTATCCAGCCCAACCAGACGTGTGAAGCAAACATCTTCAGCATCCCATCCATACCTAAGCAGATTATTTCCTCATCATAGACGACATAACCTTTGGAAACAAAAAATCCGCCAAATTTTTAATTTATATGGTGTATGACGAAAAAGAGTGGCTTTAAAAGCAACATTCAAAACCTAAAATTAAACCTAGTAAAAGATCTCGAAGCGCCCTGTCAATATAAGCAAAATTATGAATCAAAGACGAACAAGTCAAGCCAAAACCTTTTTTCAAATCTTATCAAAATAACTTACTTAAGGTGTTTGTAGAAGAAGAATTTGAATGTGTTGGAATCTTCCTGAAGAAGTCGTGTTGTATCCCTAAAAAATAATAAAACAGCCTTTTTCATTTGAATTTAGTCAACTGGTTCAAGGAATTTAGTCAACTGGTTCAAGGAATTTAGTCAACTGGTTCAAGGAATTTAGTCAACTGGGAATTTAGTCAACTGGTTCAAGGAATTTAGTCAACTGGTTCAAGGAATTTAGTCAACTGGTTCAAGGAATTTAGTCAACTGGCTCAAGGAATGATATTATAATATTTATTATTTTCTATGAAATATGCCCATAAAACTCGACATTTTGCGAAAACATCTGTAACATTATGGACAATACTAAATGACATATTATTTAGTTTGCTACCAAAAAAATCCACTATAAAATGACAATGGTTGGTCAAACCTTGTTCCATTTTCTTGCTTGGTAGAAATTGAAAATCTGGAGGGGAAATTTGGACCAACTAGTTCCGATTGTACAGACACGATGTACATGTCCTGAGATTCTTTTGGTGCAATCAACAATCTAAATATATTAACGATTATGATTTAAAACGTAAACTTTCTAAATTTGTTTGTGAAACATTTAATATACATGCATTTGTTTAGTTTTGCGCATTCCTACCTGTCTGACAATGCAATTGGACAAATTGAACACGTGGCAGAAAGTCGCCATCTTGGTTTCCATTTTGCAAGAAGGTACGGTATCCCGCACAGAACCAGAGAAAGAAAATGACTGACAAGAGATTTCAGAATATTACGTCGATATCCTGTAATGGTGGACTCATCCTCTGTTCCTTTGTCTATGACCGACCTAAACATTACGTACTATCAAGGGAAGGTGCGAAACAGGGGACGACAATGAAACCCGTAAAACTGTTAAATAGAAAGACTGCTGTTGGCTCAAGTTATGGTGTCCAAATAACAAAAGACACAGCAAATGTGCAATGTTTACAGACCCATTTCACTCAATTTGATGATTTTCATACTATACTATACTGTTTGCTTTATAACAACATCAAATACACAAAATATTTCAGTAAAGTCGTCTTCCTATTCTCAAGCTTTATTTGTTCCACTGTATGATTTCTCAAAATTTTCTAAATAGCATTTTAAAAACTACCTTGCAGCGCTTGATAATGATGGAGAATGCGTCATCCTGAAAAAAATGTTTTTAACATTTTGAAATACACAATTCGAGTTACAATTACCCAGAAAAGCATTAGTCCAAACAATTGGAATCAATATAATTTTTTTTACGATCTAAATATTTATTTTATGCTAATCCATTTAAAGATTTAAACAGGTTTACATAACATTACAAGATATAGCATAACATTTGCATCATTTTCATAATTTTCCTCAATTCTAAATCTAGTTCCGCCTTTGTAGGTCTTCGTTTAGGCTCGGGAACAGGCACAGGATTAGGTTCAGGTTCAGGGTGAGGATGAGGTTCAGTTTCAGGTTCAGCTTCAGGCTCAGAATCAGGGTTAGAGTCAGGATAGGGAGACATCTGGGACATCACCACGGAACTGGGAGTCAACTGGGACACATCCACGTTCGGAAGAGTCTGCATTGACCTCACCATAGGTGCTTCCTTGAAGTAGGGATGGTTTCATTTTCTTTTAATTTTTTTCTGCTCTTTCTCACCCTTTTCCTCCTTTTTCTCCTCCTGTTCGGCATCCTGGAAGGAGACTGGGGGAGGGTACCGAGGGTTTGGGAGAAGGAAAAACATTCTCTACCTCCTCTAGACCATAACCTCAGCTCCACAGATTCACCGGCCTTCACAAATTCCTGGTCTAAAGGCAGGACCCGCTGTATTGAACCCATGTGTATTTGTTAAGTTGAAACAGGTTGACCAGGTAGAGTGGTCGCTCCCAACATTTCAGCTGATTTGGGGGCCAGCACAGGTTTGCGGCCAAACTAGGCAGGGAGGAGAGAGCTGGTTGCTAACAGGTTGAATGCCGGGTCAAGACTCAATATAATAATGTTCTGATCTTAAACATTTATTTTGAATAACCGAATTTATTCACAAAATCTTGAAAAATTAACCTGATTGTTTTTCTAAGCTAAAAATTATTTTTTACCCCTCAAGATTTAAAAGTGACAAATATATAACAGAAATATGCTTGTTTTTTTTAATAAACATGTATCAGATACACAATCAACAACAGTATGTACCCCTCCCATTAACCCTTAGTTCCCATCAGCAATCCTCTCCGTTTTGAGAGTCACTTAAAATTACTTTTATATTGCGTATCTTGAATAGAATAGTATACATTGTAAACTAACAAATTGACTTGACAAAGGCAACCACAAAATATCACGAAGGTAATGCATGAACATAATTAGAATTTTATATCAATTTATTCTTGATCAAGAGAAACTTGAAATATTTTTATACTAGAAAGTGGGATGATGACATTTAATATTTTAGTCTGAAATCGACAAGTAATGAAAAGTGATCCTTCCGATCGTTGATCGTCAAATCTTTCAACATGGGCAAAAGGAGTAATCTTTCCCTTATGAGTTTTTTTCCATTTCATAAAACCCAAATTTCGACAAAATGAATGAAAAACTATTTTTTTTGTAATTTCGAAAATAGATTTTTTTTGGACTTAAGCAATATGTAATTAAATTTTTCAAAAGATTTGTGAAATAAAAAAACATAATTGATGAAAACTTTACTTCTTTCACAAAACAAAAATTCTTGATTCTTGAAATGATTTCATTATATTAATGATAAGGACTCGTTGAACACATGATTACAGTCTAACTGTGATCTAAATCCAGAAACAAGGAACATTAAATCCGGTCCTTTCAGATAGATGGATAGATAGATAGATAGATAGATAGATAGATAAACAGACAGAAAGCCAGATAGATAGATATTACGAGATTAGATTAAGATTGTATTATGACATCAATACAATATGCGAAGTTTAACTTTGTAAAAGCAAATCTCCTTTATTCTAGTTTATTTTTTTTAGGTACCTAGAGGAAGGGGTGGGGCAGGGGCGTAATCAGGAGTTTATCCAATGAAGGGGTCTGAATTTAAATTTTTCAGATTGAGGAGACCTTAATTTTAATTGGTGCTTACTTAATACTTATAGGAGTTCTAAATAAATCATTCCACTTAGCAAACCTCTATTAACTTTATGTAATTAATCAAGTAAGTTAAGTATAACAATAAAATCAAATTTTTCGTCCAAGGAACCTATTAGGGACCCATTTTTCTGAGTTTGTTCAAAATATTTATTAAAAACTAGCTGAAGTGCGCGGCGTTGCCCGTAGAATTTTGTAGAAAAAAACGATTATAAAAAATTTTCGATTTTGAGAAAAAAATTGTATAGCCTTTGTTATCCCCGGAGTACCCATGGGTTCCCAAAAGAAATTTCAGCTAATTTGGTCCAGCAGTGTTTGGGCAGCTATAGCAAACATATAATACATACATATATATATATACACATATATATATATATATGCATACAAATATATGTATATATATGAGCAAAGCTTTATTATATACAGGGTTACCCACAAAGGATTAGACTGTAAAGACGACCCAAAACTTTAAAAAGATGACGATCTGAAGCATGATTGTTTTATAAGTAACCCTTTAGATATGCTTAAAAGTGTAGAGATTTTCTCAGTTCACAGCAAACATATTTGTCCAATTACAACATTTTAATTTGAATAAAAACGAATTTATATAATTAAAGAACAAACGTTTCATATCCCAGCTCATACAGCTCAATCGGTATTTCGGTCTCCAATCCATCCAATCCATTTTTCATCTTTATTTTGAATATATTCCTGAGGGAGTGACAGCAATTATCAAAAATGTCAAAAATAGGAATTTCCCAAATGCCTCGGTATCTGGGAAATTTCTCAAATGCCTGGGTATCTGGGAAATTTCTCAAGTAGCCAGGTATTTGAGAAAATTCCAAAATCTAAAAAATATCCCACCCTCAAATACCTATAGAAATTTGGGGAATTTCCCAAATGCCTGGGTATCTGGGAAACTTCCCAAATGCCTAGGTATCTGTGAAATTTCTCAAGTACCCAGGCATTTGAGAAAATTCCAAAATCTTGAAAAAATCCCATCCTCAAATACCTGTAGGAATTTGGGGAATTTCCCAAATGCCTGGGTATCTGGGAAATTTCCCAAATGCCTAGGTATCTGTGAAATTTCTCAAGTACCCAGGCATTTGAGAAAATTCCAAAATCTAAAAAATATCCCACCCTCAAATACCTATAGAAATTTGGGGAATTTCCCAAATGTCTGGGTATCTGGGAAACTTCCCAAATGACTGGGTATCTGGGAAACTTCCCAAATGCCTGGGTTGGGAAATTTCCCAAATGCCTGGGTATCTGGGAAATTTCCCAAATGCCTGGGTATCTGGGAAATTTCCCAAGTGCCTGGGTATCTGGGAAATTTCCCAAATGCCTGGTATCTGGGAAATTTTTAGTTTTTTTAAGAAATATCCAGCCATTTGAGAAAGTTCCAACATCTTATAAATATACCACCCTGAAATTATTGTAGGAATTTGGGAAATTTCCCAGATACCCAGGCATTTCCCAAATACCTATTTTAATAGAAAATGTAAATGCTGTCGTGACATGATATTCCTTCACTGAAGTAATTGTGTACAATGTACATAGTACACATGTGGCACATAAAAATAGATACTTAACACTTATGGATGGTTCAATAACAGTTTCTTATTGTAAAATTTTAACGCTAAAATGTACACATAAATTCACACTAGCCGGTTATTGACTGCCTATAGAGTGGTAACAAATGCAATTCCCCTTTTATGGTTTTGAAGTCTGGGCCGGATGGCACCATAACTATGACATTCTTAGTGAAACTAGAAAGCAAATACGCATAAAACTATTTTCTTATTCTACTACATCTCAGGTCTCTTTTTGCAACATCGAAGCAAGCTCACGTTATTTTCACAAGCATAAAAATATATTCCAAATTTGAAAAAAGGGTTTAAAAGTAAGGACAATTTTAAAATGTATGCAGAAAAAATTTAATGCGGGAGATATTAAAGTTTTTACTGCATTAATAAATATTTCTACGATGAAATAGACCGCTGAGTGATGACCCATGGTTTAGAAGAACCCGTCAATCTCAATTTATAGAGTGGCATTTCTGCCCTGAAAATCTTTGTCTGATCAATTATTATTTTATTTGTGACTTTTCTTTAAATTGAATTACATAATTTTGTTTCAAAAACAAAGGAGTACATTGTCAGAATTAAACACTTATCAATGACGATGTTTTCCACATTTTTTATCAGATATAGATTTAAAGGATACAAATATAAATTGGAAATGGAAAGTCCCTTGAAAATACAATGACAGTTCTTTTTAAGAATATGAATTTAAATCTCACTTTATAATTATTCTAATTTCTAAAGCTGATAAAACTTTTTCACAAAACCATGCTTAATTTATCGAAATTAACATAAAAAAAACTTAAGATCGTTTTAAACAAATCCCACACTCAAACTTAAGTTGCACCACTGATAAGGAGTTAATACAGAAGTTGTACTCGTAAGCTAGGATTAATCCTTGAATACTGAACTATCAACTAATATAGCATGAACAGGTGTTCAGGTCTTATATCCTTCAATGAATCATTTCATGTCAAATATAATTCTTAAGTAATAAGTATGGATGTAAAGGAAAACATAAAAAGACCCCTTTCCCCCAAAAAACTGATCTACATCTTCTAATTGTCAAGGCCCTTTACACACAGATATTAACAAAAAATAATGTCCAGAAAAAGTGCAACTTTACACTTAAGACTGGGGAGCGAAATAACAGTAAGAAGAAATCCAGTAACCAGGACAAACGTGACGTACAGACAACTGTAACGTATTTTCAAGTTCCAACTATTGTGCTTAATGATATATTTGTACAACTAGGATTTCAGGGCGCTTTCTCTATGAATACATTGTAACATAAAAAAGAATTTCGCGGATTTTATAAAAAATTAGCCGAAGTAGCCGGTGGAATTCTTTTAAAATCGGATTTTGAAAAAAAAATTATTTTTGAAAGAAAAAAGATTTTTGAAAAAAAAATACTTAAAAATTGATTATTGGAAAAATTATATTTGAATTTTTTAAGATAAAATTCGATTTTTTTAAGACTAGGTCCCCTCAAAAATTTTAGCCAATTCGGTCCATCCGTTTGACCAGCTATAGCCAACATACAAACAAATATATATGAACGAAGAGCTTTATTACATAGACAAATAAGTGGATTTTCAAACTTTGAAGTAACTATTCATTATTTTCTTACTTGTAAAGGCCCTGGTGGCATTTCAGATCTACGCTACTTCATTTTCGTTCTGAAATAATGGTTTTTGTAATCTAAGTAATCCCGTTATGATAACATAACAATTAGCAAAATCAGACAATAATAATTTTAAATATTAAAAATATATTTTTTAGTTCATATAAAATATATATATGCATGTATATCTTGACTAAATTCTATAAAAAGTATGCAAATTTGATTGGTTGTGGCATTGGATATTTTGATTTTAAGGTACATGACTGATTGCAGTATAAATACATGTAAATTTAAGGCACAATAGTTCAGTATGAAATAATAAAATTTTGTTGAAGTTACAATATTTAACAACATCGTAATAAAATTCGTTTACAAGATAACATTTCTCTATAAATGTATTAATAATATATTCCCATGATAAATTGCAGTAAAAAAACTAATAAAAATTTCACAATTAACATAAATCCATACAATTTTCAAACCTTTTCTACTGACAAATTTACACAAAAATAAACAAAGAATGCGAGAACTCCTAATTTTCAATTATAACTTTAAAAATACTACTTTTTTATTTAAATTTTTTTCTTTTTTTTTACAGATTTTTAATAAAATTTTTATTGTACTTAAATTTTATTATAACTTTTTGATTAAACATAAGAAATAAGCTCATATTATTAAAAACGAATTGTATGAAGGTCTTGATATTTGTTAGGGTTTCTCATACTTAGAAATTTTAAACAGACTAGCTAGCATAAGGTTTAACAATTAACGATAGATTTAAATATCCAAGTTTTATGAAACTTTTGTGTACTTCACTCCATGATAAATTTTTACACAGTCGTACTATAAATTTATGATCGTGCTATTGTGTTGAATTAGCTGTATATTATAGCACGGTGCTATAAAATCATATTGGATTTTCTCCCCCAAAATTAAAATCAAAATATACAAGATTTATTGCATCGAAATAAAAATAAAATTGAAAATTAATCTTATTTTCATTTTTGCTTTGTAAAACAGATTACTATATCTTGTAATAACCATCAGACAAGTACACAAACAATTCATAAAAATACCTTTGACAATATTATTATGGCACGAGTTTGCATTGGAAACCAATATCTTAAAAGTGTAAATAAACTTTTTAATATTCCTAGTGACCAAATTTATTTTCTTCTTCATCCTTTAATTATTTATCTATCAATGTTGCCGACACTTTTGTGGCCAAACGGGATATAAAACTGCCTGCTCAGTCAAGGGTTGAGATGCAACAATTTTAGATTGAGTTGAGATTTTTACAATTATCACGTGATGGCTCGACCTAAATGACCTGAAAAAAGCTCCCGCCTCAAACCTTGACCAAGTGAATAAAAATAATTATTAGTTATCTGTATGTATTGTGTATCAAATGTATTGTGTAGTATATAAAAGATGAGAAAAATAACAAATTGCAATAAAGATGCGAGTGAGAGAATCAATATCTATTATCTAATATCCCTTGGATTAATTAATAGTAAAATAACAGCTGTCTTTAAATTCTATACATCTAAACCCATATACATATATACATATATACACAATAATCATATATGTATATATATATATATATATATTGATAATGCTTGATAATTGATATATATTGATAATTAATAATGCTTTTGATAATGATGCTATTGGTATAGCGTGAGTATACTACAAATTTATGCGGATTTGGCTAGAAGATTAATATCTATTTAAATATGTAATATCAATGTGCGAATGATTATGCAAATTGGGTGAATATGGCAGAAGTTATAAAATTGCATGATTATGGCTTGAGTATCCAAATAGTGAAAATGAAGCAGGCAGCTAGATCCAATTTGATTATACAAATAAGAATATAACAAAATTGGTACATGCAATTTTACCTAAACAGTGAAGTAATGATTTTTAAATAAAAACATCATATACTCCTCATCTAAAATGTGTATAAAAAGTACATCTCTCTTGGTCTGTCTGTAAAAATTTCTAATTTGATTGGGTTGACTTTTACAGGGCAGGGTACAGGCAAAGCTGGGTTCCAAAGCTACTTGTTTGTAAATATATCTACTATAGTGTATATGGAAGACAAGTTTAGCAACATTACGGAGAAATTTCAACTTGTGTTACAGAATATATTCTGGTTCTTCTCTATTCGAACTATTCCTAAACACAATCAACCATTCTTAAATCAATTTGTCTAGTTGTTAGATATGCTAGTCTGATAAACTAAACTAACACTGGGACGCAACAAGAAATTTTTTTTTTACAATTTCAAAGAAATCATTAAATTTTCAATATTTTCCCTCAGCCATCCAATTTCAAAGTTAGTTTTTCTATTGAATGGTATCCCTGGAGTTAGCATCCCTAGCTCTGGTCTCCCTGGTGGAGCTGCTGGTGTTCCTAGAGAAGCTGGAGCTTGTCTCTGGTTTAAGGTAAAGCTCCTGGGATATAGCGCTTAGAGCCTCCTGGGGCATACGGTGAGGTTCAGACAGAATATCTGTTGTGATAGATAGATCCTAGCAACAAGTAATTAGATTTTAAATCAACTGTTAAAGTGAATTCTATATGTTTCAGCAGTTTAGAAGAAACTTCTTTAAAAATAGGGTTACAAAATATTACTTCAATTTTCTTGTAAAATGATGAAAAATAAAGCTTTCATGCAGATATGTTTTAGCAAAAATAAATATTGAGTGTATGAATGACTAAAACAGAAAAGAACTAAGGATGATCTAACCAAACCTTAAATGTATGAATGACTATAAATAATAGAGATAAGGATGATTCTAACCAAACCTTGAGTGTATGAATGACTATAAAGAATAGAACTAAGGATGTTCTAACCAAACCTTGAGTGTATGAATGACTATAAAGAATAGAACTACGGATGATCTAAACCTATCTTAAGTGTATGAATGACTATACAGAATAGAACTAAGGATGATCTAACCTAACCTTCAGAGTATAAATATCTATGCACAATAGAACTACGGATGCTCTAACCAAACCTTGAGTGGATGAACGCCTATAAAGAAGGATGATCTAACCAAACCTTAGGTGTTTGAATGACCAGAAAAGAATAGAACTAAGGATGACCAGCCCTACCTTGAGTGTATTTAAGACCAGAACAGAATAGAACTAAGGATGACCAACCCTACCTTGAGTGTATTTAAGACCAGAACAGAATAGAACTAAGGATGACCAACCCTACCTTGAGTGCATTTATGACCAGAACAGAATAGAACTAAGGATGACCAACCCTACCTTGAGTGTATGAATGACCAAAGGACGGAGTTGAACTAATGAAGCATGTTGGTCCAACCAACTGTTCGTGGTTCGACACATATCTTCAAAACTACTTGAGCTAACGGTTCTAAATAAAATATGACAAGTTAATCAACAATTTATTCTAACTGCAGGGGAAACTAGTTCCAAGACTAACACTTAGCCAATTTCAAACACTGAGTGTTAGAAATGGAGCAAATCTGCTAAGTTATCTTTTTATATCGTATATATCTTTCAATCCAAGCCGATTTTATCAAAACTACACCATACATTTATAAGAAATGGCTAAAACTATTTATTTTGAAACGAGAAATGTCAACTTTAAGCTGATTATAAGGTGAACAGTTTTTGATGATTCTTGTTTTCATTTTCGAACATATCCCTATTTTGAAACCATTACCGCATTTTAGCTCATGTCGTGTTTTTGAAACATATCCTGATTTTGAGACAATTACTCGAATTCATATCAATGTCAATTTTCAAGAATTTACACACTTCAGTCACAAAGCAGGATTTGCGATAAGGTAAAATATTAACAAAATAGAAAATAAATACATAATTTTCTTTTGTAATCAAAAATAAATTACGGCATTGAGAAATCAAAATATTGATTTATTTTGTTCTTGCAGTGTATATTTAACTAGAAATGCGGGAAATTAATTGTTTAAAATGCAGGAGACTAAATCAACTTCATTTTCTTATTTATCAAAAATAATTTGAAAACTTAGACTCTAAATATAATTCAGCAGTTAATTTAGGCTTCAGAAGATAATTTTTACTTTCAGTGATTTATTTTGTAAATTATGAAAATGCGGTTTGAAGTGTGTATTAAACTAAGAACGGGACAGTGAGCCGTCGTCCTTCGTTAAAGAATACATACAGATTATTTCATCTAGTTAAAGAATTTCCATAATTACATTTTTTCCTCATGATTATCGTATTATCGACTTAAACTCTCGATATGGGCCGGGATCCTAAAACCCCAGTCTTTCAATTTGCGCCCATTTATAGCACTCAGTGTTAGAAATGGGCCAAGTGTTGGTTTTGGAACTAATGTCCCCTGAAGTGTTGTTTGAAGTTGTATACTTTTTCTGATTATAAATTCACAATTATCAATAGAATCGTTGTTTTTGGAATTTAAAGAATTCACAATTTTGATCTGATATTTCCTCAAAGTATTTGAAACCATATCCGAATTAATATAACTATTAATATTCAGCGATAAAACCCTGACAAATATTTGAGCATGATTAGGTTTTTTTGAGGCCAATCGTATTGCGTGGACCCTGTGATATAATATACATACATAATTTTCACCAAGATACAAAGTGATATTTAAACATTTACTTATCAAAAGTTTCTAGTAGAGGTTGCATCATTTTAGAAAAGACCCAGTATTTCCAGTTCTGTACAGTACACACAGCAACATGATGGTCAAACATACTCTGCAGTTCACTTTTCCTAAATCAATGAATGAATCAATCAATCAGTCTGTCAATCAACAAATCAATCAATCAACCAACACATCAATTGATCAATAAATCAAAGTTTGCACCTGTTCAAAACAGTAGTTTTAGGAGCTGACCCCTGTGTTGGAAGCTGGGCCTGGAACCTGGCTATTTCCTCCGTTAAGGTCTCCACCGAGCTGCGCAAACAGCTGATTTCTTGATCCAATGCTTCACGCTCACTTTTTAACTGAGTAAGATACTCACCACCCTGACAAGGTAATCAAATCAGATAGTGAAAAATCAACCAAATGATCAATGATCAAATTATTAACTAATTAGCTAATTAACTCAACAAAAAAGTGAATCCACCAACCAATCAGTAATTACATAAAATTTTGAAGATATTGTTTGAAGAAATAGTTTTATTAAACTACTGCACCTTGACTAGTAATGCAGCCTTGCTTATCTTTAGGTTCGGATTCTGTGCTAAAGAGGGAACAAGAGTTCTCAAGAAATCGAACCCGTTCTTGATTGTGCATCGTCGTTTCTGCTCAGCAACGGAAACCTTCAAATCGTCGGCGATCCCAGGATTGGGAATTGAGGACCCTATAAAAAGTATCCGCATAATTTTGAAAATCGTTCTTGATCTCTGATTCTATAAATAAGTATAAATGTCTTAATGTTGGGTTCAGCTAATTGGAATGTTTGACACTTAATTCACAACTTTTGGAGGATATTGAAGATTGTTATCAAGTGATCTAAGTAATACCTATGGTGTAAGAAGGTTGTGGATGAGAACCAGGAGGAGGAGGTGGGATCTGTTTCCCTTTCCGCTTTAACTGCGTGTTCTTGCTAGGAAATCCTTCCCGTTCTCCAACTTTCGGTTTAATCTCTAAACTTTCATTTGAGAAATTTCTAGTTGTTGCTCGTGGAACCTCGTATCTTGAACCCTGCGTCTCAGTTTTTACTCTGATTGATTGATCATACCTACCAGAACAATTGAAAATCACAATAAAACATTTAACAGGGGTGTATATTTTTCAGAATTAACCCCCCCTTAACCCGCTAAACATAAAATGGCAACTTTTTTCATTCTTTTTCATTCTTTTTCATTCTTTTTAATAATTTTTCCACAATAAATTGATTTTTCCATAAAATATTCAATTCACCAAGATAAACCATAAAAAAATTTTGCTCACCACGCAAGCATATATGACTTCTGGGTAAAACTTACTTCATCAAGGGGGAAGAAAAATTATTTTACGAAAAATATACACCCCTGACATTTAATTCAACACAAATTTCCCCACCAGTCACCACTCTTGCAAAATAAAAAATATACGCTTGATGCGGGGAAAAAAAATAATAAAATAAAAATGATTTTAGAACACTAAATATTAAACTAAGTTCAGAGGAAGAAAATCAAACCAGGTCCGGGAAATAAACGAAAAGCTGCGAGAAGGAACAAACCTGTTCTCTTGTAGTAGCTGAAGCAGCTGGCTGTTTTCCTTCTTCCTCCCTGTCTCCTGGGCCTCCTGTTCCTTCAACTCTCTAAAGTTTCCCCTGATCACCATATTATCTCCTCTATCTCCGCCCCCGCCTCCTCCTCCAGGTGCTCCTGACAGGGTACTAGTGCCTCCATATATAGTTGGGTCACTAGAGACACGTGATTTATCTGCTTTCTCAAACTCAAACCTGAATAGGAGCAGAGTTGGTTGGGTACAAGAGAAGCTTAGAATTGTTAGAAGTCAAAAAGTGAAAACTAGGATGTTAACTTCCGGGTTTTCTTTTATTCTATCTTTTCATCTTTTATTTTTGCACAATCTAGGACCAGACCCCCTACCAAGAAAGAAGGTTTTTAATTTGGGTAGGTAGTTAAAAAAAGGTTAAAATAATGTTATTGTGAGGTTTCTAAAATGCACAAACTTTATATTCCTGTATTAAACTATATATTCATATTCGAACGAAAAAACTTAATTTTAAAACTACCAGGTTCCTTGACCCAAAGTTTTATGAAATCTAAAATTTGGATATATCTTTGAACAATATTAGACCAAAAACATGATTAACTGTGGTAAAATTGAGTAAAAATGCAGGCTGCTTACTTTTGGGACTGTGAGAACATGAATTCTCGTTGAATTTTCAGATTGAGAATACTCGAATCCTCAAGCGGTTCAGGCCTAAAACATCAACTTACAATTAAAAATTAAAAGGTATTTAATTTTTTATCAGATTTACTGAATACACAGTACACACGATATCGGTGCAGAAGGGTGGAGGTTGAGCAGGAAGGGCGGGGGTTCAGGGGAAAAATGCTTGCATTTGGATAATCAAACCGTAAAACGCTACAATTGCCAATAAAAAAGAAGAAGAATGTGAATGCGGGAGCGGTTGAGATCTAGCCTAGACTCTACGCAGTCTAGACTAAGAAATGCAACTTTTTCCCCTCAAATTTAAGATTTGTTCAACTGCTAAAGTACTTTTTTAGTTTAGATTTCTATCCACTCTTTACAACTTCTTTATTAGTTTAACCGCTGAGATATCAGTTTTTTGCTTTTAACCGCTGGTTTCAGATTTCCAACAAGTTTTTACTTTCAATCAATGGAAAAAAAATTTCCTAACATACTGCTGAGTTTAAGATTTAAAATATTTTTTTTCTTTAAACCGCTAGGTTTAAGATTTTTCAGCAACTTTTTAGTTTACAACCGCTGGTTTAAAGTTTTTGTCAGCAACCTTTTTTTCTTTTAACCGCCAGGGTTTAAGTTTTTTTCAGCAGCTTTTTTCTTTCAACCGCAAGGTTAAAGATTTTTTGGCAACTTTTTAGCTTTCAACCGCTGGTTTTATATTTTTTAGCTTGTTTTTTCCTTCAACTGCTGGGTTTAAGATGTTCAACAAATTTTCGCTTTTAATCAATTGGAAAAAGTTTTTCTGAAAATAGGGCTGAAATAATTTTTTTCTACCAAACGCTGGGTTTAAGATTAAGGTTCAAAGAAAAAAAGGTGTTGTACAAACTTAAAACCAGCGGTTGAAAGCAACTAAATTATTTCAAATCTTAAATCCATCAGTATTTTAAGAAAAACTGTGTTCCGTTGATTAAAAGCAAATATTTGTTGAAAATCTAAAACCCAGCGGTTGAAAGAAAAAAGATACTGAAAAAAAAACTTAAAACCAGCGGTTAAAAGATAAAAAAAAGTTGCCGAAAATCGTAAACCCAGAGGTTGAAAAAAATTATTTCAAACCTTAAACCCAGCAGTATTTTAAGAAAAACTTTGTTCCATTGATTAAAAGCAAAAATTTGTTGAAAATCTTAAACTCAGTGGTTGAAAGAACAAAAGTTGCTGAAAAAACTTAAAACCAGCGATTGAAAGCTGAAAAGTTGCTGACAAATCTAAAACCCAGCGGTTTAAAGAAAAAAAGTTATTTGAAATCTTAAAACCTGCAGTATTTTAAGAAAAACTTTTTTCCATTGATTAATAGCCAAAATTTGTTGAAAACTTTAAACCAGCGGTTGAAAGCTAAAAGGTTGCTGAAAATACTTAAACCCATTGGCTAAAAGAAAAAAGTTGCTAAAAAAAACTTTAATCCCAGCGGTTGAAAGAAAAAAAAGTTGCTGAAAAAACTGAAACCCAGCGGTTGAAAGAAAATAAATTATTTCAAATCTTAAACCCAGTATTTAATGAAAAGCATTGTTCCATTGATTGAAAGCAAAAAGTTGTTGAAAATCTGAAACCCAGCGGTTGAAAGCAAAAAACTGTTATCTCAGCGGTTGAACTAATTAGAAAGTTTAAAAAAGTGGATAAAAATGTAAACCAAATAAGTACGAATTCAGAGGTTGAACAAAGCTTAAATTTGAGAAAAAAGTTGTATTTCTTATTCCAACTGCATAGAGTCTAGGCTATATCTCAACCGCTCCCGCTGAGTTTTTTTTTTACAAAGTATAATCATTCGAAAGGTACCTTCTCATATATTCGCTAGCTACAAATGGAGATTCTTGCTCTAGCCTCATGACCTATAAAAATATAGTTTATTATTGCAAACAAAAACATTAGCTTTAAGGGAGAGACCGGCTCTGTAACATAGTTGAACTGAGAATGTAGTATTGTGGAGAAAAGGATTCATTTGATATCATTGAGACATTTTTGGGGTGAACAATTTTAAAGAGGGGCGTAAAGTCGCGTATAATAGTTAACCTGTTGTCTCAGCCAGCACTAGAAACGTTTCTTATATCTATTTAGTAACCCGGACAAAAGATGTAAAAACAAATATTTTTAGACTAATTTGCCATTTACGAACATTTAAAAAATATTTTATCGATGAGATGAACGCCATAGTAGAACAGTAGAATAGATTATTTCATTATGTTCATTACTTTTGCTGCTTATATATTTTTATTCGCAGATTTCTTCAAAATGTCGTCTTCACAATTAAAATAAAGAAAACCTCCTTTAACTAACAAGCGACCCTAGCTAAAAGAAATTGCATAAACCTGCGAGATTTTAAAAAGAATTTTAATAACTTATTTTTAATGATTAAAGTTCATTTTTTACTCAATCTGATTGTATACATGCAACTAGTTTGTAGAATTGTATTTGTTACACGTTATTTCAGAATTATATAAAAGGTTTCTTCTGCTGGCTGAAACAACAGGTGAAATATTATAAACGACTTTACGCCCTTATTTAAAAATTATACATCGAAAAAACGTCTCATTGGTATCAAATAAATCCTGATGTTTTCCTCTAAAATACTGCATTCTCAGTTCAACTATGTTACATAGCCGGTCTCTCTCTTTAATGAATAAAAAAGCTTCACTAATTTCCATTCAATCCGTCCGTGTTTTTGAAGTATGGAGAAAAGGGGTGTGGGAATAATTAAGATTACTGACCTTAGCCGGTGGTTCTCTAATGACCGAAATAAGACCCTCTTGATTCCTGATGTTCGACTGGTTCATCCCCATCATCTCTTTTGGCATCATGAAGATCTGCTGGTTCTTCACTTGGTTTTCAATTATTGTAGACTGTTGACGATTTATTTGCTGTTGTAGATTTATTTGCTGTTGACGATTCATTTCTTGTTGCCGATTTAATTGCTGTTGACGAATCATTTGTTGGTCCCGAAGTGCTTGCTGACGAATCTCCTGCTGTTCTTCAAGAGCTTGCTGCTCTCGAAGTACTTGCTGTTCTTGATACCCCAAAACAGCACGCAATTGTAGCTGCTGGTCAACTTCTTGTTGATCGCTCATCCCTTGCTGATCTCGAGTTCTTTTTTGCTGATCATAAAGTTGTGATTGATGCTGAATTGACAACTGTGGTTGCTGACCTGATAACTGTTGTTGCTGACTTGAAAGATGTGATTGATTACGGAGAACACTTTGATTCTGTCCTTTATCCCGAATATGCAGGAGGCCGCTGCAGCTGGTAACAGCGGGTGCAGACAGCGATGATAAAGGCTTACTCTGAAAAATAAGTAATAAAAGAATATGTTCTTAAAAAAATCAGATTTATGGTTCTATCTTTTTATTTTTTACTTTACAGAATTAAATGAATCCGCCGAATCTGCGAAATCAGCAGCATCAACAAACCTGATCTGGGAAAGCTCGATTAGATTCAAGAAGTTCCATTTCTTGAGCCTGCCGTACAGCTGCACTCCATAACTTGCCTGGTAAAAAAAACAAAAAAAATATTTTTTTTCTCTCAAATCTCAAAATATCGTGTGTACACAGAAGTCACTAAATTATGTTTCTAACATAATAAATATCAAAACAAACCTATGTTTGCGTTTTAAAATGAGATTTACCTCTGCTGAATCCATTGATAGGTTTCCGCGCTGGTTCCCGTTTAGCCAAGGTGAAATTGTTCTCAAGTTTGCTGGTACTAGGCTCACAACTAAATAGGACAATTATATATATATCTGATTGAAAAATGAAGCCACCTAGACTCTAAGAGTGCCCCACATTTTTTAGGAAGCATAAGGGTAAAACTAGCTCAAATACGTTTTAGCATTTCAAAATAATTTTCCTAAATTGGCCAGCCATGTTATTGTTTTTCACGTCATTTTTGGCCTTTTTTAACCATTTTCGGCTAAATAAGGTCTGTCTATTTTTAAGGGATTTTGAAGAGTGATACCAATTTGGAAACCCTTCAACTCAAACGATATTTGACAATTTTTTTCGATTTTTTTGTTTTTTGATGCGTCAAATTTTCAGAAAACGATGAAAAATCGCGTCTTTTGCACACCTTTCGTCAGCTCCATCTGGGAATGGTTAAAGTAAATTTTATTTCAGACTCAATACCATACTAATTGAAAATATTTCGACAGTTCAGAAATGGCCTAAAACATGTTTTATTTACAAGTTTGGAGGGAAAACTTGTTGGTTTGAAGTCACATTTTTCTTTCATTAACCCCCCCAGAAAAAAAATGTTCAAAATTTAACTTCATTTAAAAAATTTATTATGTTTTTCTCGTTACCTGATACTAGTAGAAGAGGCTTTTGAGTAAAAATCATCTACAGAAGAAAACTTTACTAAAATTATTTGAAAAAGAAAAAAATTGTATAACTTACAATATTCCTGTTGATGAGGGGACTGGGGATGTAATTTGAAGCGTCTCTTTATTTATAACGCAGCATGTCCGATTTGCAACGCTACGGTACCGTTAAAACCTCGTCTGATTAAGAATGCATGAGATGTCTATAATTTGCTCTGGTTAATTTTAATTTTGTTTTATCTATTAAGTGACTTTTGGACTTCTTCAAAAAAAGTTGCATACTATTTAAGCCCACAAAAACGAAGATATCTTCCACAATATTGATCAGACGCGGGATTAAAGCGTACCGTTGTGACTCGGGAATTGTATATTGAATATCAAAAGAGGGAGCTAACATGAGAGCTTTATCAGCTGTTAACTTCCTCGTTTCTGACCAGAATGAAAACAGTAAGAGCGCAAAGGTGCATTTTCATTATTAATGTGATTTAATTAAGAGGGGGGGGGGAGAGAGAGAGAGAGAGAATAAAAAGCATACTAGTAAAGTGCATTCCTTTGATTGCATGTTTATTAATATCTGTCCGGTTCCTATCTGAAGACATAACAACAACTGGAGCTGCCACACTACTTGTAGAAAAGGAACGCTGTCTTTAAACAAACATTTATATAATTTGTGACAAAAAGGTTTAGAATCAAAATATTTATTTTTATCAACTAAAAGCTGAAGTGCCCGGCGTTGCCTGTAGAATTTTTAAAAAATCGAATTTTAAAGGGAAAAAAATTGATTTTTGACCTAAAAAAATTACAATTTTTAGCCTATGTTACCCCTAAGGTACCCATGTGTTTCCTCAAAAAAAAACAGCTAACGGGCCCGGGGTGCCCCGTAAAAAAAATTTAAATTCGATTTTGTTTAGCCTTTGTCATCCCCAGGCTAACCATGAGTGTCCACAAACAATTTCAGCCCTATCGGTCCAGCCGTTTGGCCGTCCAGAGGGAACATTTTTAAGAATATCTTGCTTTATTATGTAGATGTATACTGTATATGTTAGAAAGGACAGTTGATTGTTTTTTTTTTCGTCTGAGTTTTAACTTTTTCTTGGTTTTTTAAAATCTAATATATTTAATTTGAATTTCATCGAAAAAATCTTTTACGCAATTTTTCTTAAAAACTAAAATGCGCGAAATTTACTTTGAATCTGAATTTTAAAAAAAATCAAATTGCAAATAAAATCCTCAAATATTTTTTTTATTAAACATTTATGATAATTATCATTAGCAGACAACCCATCATTCAATGAAATATGGGTCGATGCTCCTTTCAATTAAAAAATCAAATCAAATCCGAGTTTTAGTGACGTTCTTCTTTCACATGTCAAATACAAAATAAAATCAGAGAGATAATTTTTTTTTAATAAAAAAAACCTTAAAAGTAAATAAATACATTATCAAATGCCTACCTATGATGATCTAGGAGTTTAGGTTGAGTGTATGATTGAATTGGAAAGTTTGTGTCCATGACAATATCTTTAATATCAGGCATCGGCAAGCTCAGTAAATCCTAATAATTCAAAAGTTTCTATAATAGAAGTTTAAAAAAATTTATGACACCCGTAATAAAGTCAAAGAGCATCAAGCTCTAACATATGCTCGATGCTTCAGAAGCGGATAATAGGTCATTACATGGCCCAAACGCTTTAAGACTAACCCCCTAGAGTTATAGTTAAGATCATAATCAGGGCCCGCCTTTTCCGGGATAAAATCAAAGAGAATATAATATATATTAGAGTGGAATTTAATAGAAAAAAGTGTAAAACGGCCATTTTGTTGTACTGATTCCATACTGCAGGTGTACTTCACATATTTATGCTATATAACCTTTTGGGCCCTGGAACATCATTTTGTAGAAAATCTAAAATCAATATTATAGGAAAGCCAAATTATGAAATAGGCTGGTTTCATAATTGACCAATGATCATTTCACATACAGGGTGTCCCACATCAAATTAGACAACTCAGAAAATTTAAGAAGAATAAATAATTTTTAAAAATTCTATGAGGCTAACTGTAATTTTTTTGCAGAAAATGCTAGATTTTTCGAGTATTATGATGTGTATTTTGGCGTTAAAGATTGGAGATGATCTTATATAATATGACGTTTGTTGGTCACAGACTCTATGCCTTTCACTTTACAAACGATGATTTTCCGTTATAACTATAAATCAAATAATGTTTTTTATTCACTTAATTCATTTTATAAAGTTTATTTAACAGCTTTAAATAATTCGAAATTGAAATTGATAGTCTAGGGAACATACTGTATTGATGTACTCTACTGCATATAATTTGTGAACATTTACATGATTTGTACACTTTGAACTCCCTTTCAGGCTAAAAGGAACTGAAAAAATTCATACCGAGGGAATTTCTAAATTCCACTCTAATATATATTCTATTCTCTTTGGATAAAATGCTGATTTTAGATAAGTTATTAGTTAAGACAAACCTGTTCTGGAGTTAATGACTTCCCTCTGCTGGAGGAACTGTTCTCTACTTCTGGTAGACGGGTAGATAACCAGTCCTAGATTAAGTATTGTTTAGGTTTTATTGAAAGAGAAATAGCGTAAGAGATCGTTTTCTAGTTATGAATAACTGGGTCAGTGGGTAGTGGTTTATATCTAGATCATTTATTGCTTTTTTCTAAAGTTTACTATGTATTATAAATGATAAAATAAAAAATTCCGGAGAGTAAATTTATCAAATATTGTTTTAAGATGTTTTCAATGAGTTGCTAAAGGTAGCAATCAAAAAACATAAATAACATATCACAAATGTAAGTTTTATCACCACTTACAAGTAATCAATTAAATCATAAATCAATCAAATGTACATTAAATCCATATAATAAAACAAGACATTCGTATATATATGTTGTCTATAGCCGGTCAAACGGCTGGACCGATTGGGCTGAAATTTTTTGTGGACACTCATGGGTGGCGAAGAGGTGAATGTGATAGCCTAAAAAAAATTCGAAGTTTATTTTCAAAAACAAAAAATTTCAAATTTTTTTTTCCACAGGCAACGCCGGGCCCTTCAGCTAGTTAAACATATTTTTCAAATAACGTTAAATCCACATAACTTTTATGAACTAACAAATTTAAAGAAATCATTCATTTTTGTATTAAATAGAAAACACAACAACTTTGTCATCCTTGATCAGACAAAGGTTTAAAATGAACCGTTGTGAATCAGACATGCCACTACAATACATGGAAACTACACACTAAAGTTCCTTTAAGGAATCTGAACTGAGCACTTTGGTTTACTTTTACCTGAAGGGGTGCAATAGGATCAAGGTCCATAAGTTCATCAAGGTTCGGATGGAAGTGCATACTGAGATCAGGTTGGATAATATCAGAATTACACGGCATTCCATCCAAACACCGAGGATGATCACGTTGCTAATTTAAGAAATATAGTATAAACCGGGTTTCTGTAGTTTTTCGAAGCCTCCTACCCCCGCCCCCCCTCCCCGCCGGCCTCAAATACTCAAACCAAAGAAAAACTGAAATATGTTGAAACTTCAAAATTTTTGGAAGCATAAACATTTTCTAAAATACGCTCATTAAAGATAGAAGAAAGAGATGTTTTAAATTAACATTATATATTAATGCACAATTTTAACCAATTTCAAATTATTTGCATTTAGTTTAAATACAAAAACGAAAACAAACAGAACTGTATAAAATAACTCAATGAAACACAAAAAGTAAGTTTTACATGAGATCCAAGAGAGTTAAAGAGGGCATCTACAAAGAAGTCCGCATCTGTAATCATAGATTCCAGATCAACATCATCCTAATCAAAGGTTTTTAAATCTTGGTAAAGAAATTATGTATATACTTATTTTCAAATAATATTTTGTAACCTTGGTCCCATACTGGTAGAGATTGTTAGTAATATCCATAAAATGGTCGCTAGTAATGGGCTGCAAATTGAACTGATTCTCATGCTGCTGTTTGTAAAAAATTCTCCACCTATAAAAAGATTTTATAAAACAAATTTAAAAAAAAAACAAATTAAACAAATAGGTAGTAAAAATTAAAAAGATTGAAAGGAAAAATTATTTAATTAAAAATATTGTTACAAATCAACCATGGAGATAACTTATGAGAAATACTTAAAACAAGCCTCGGTAATTCATAAAAAGCATAAGAAAATTCTGACCTTGTGAAAGAACAAGAGAACTCCTGACTGCAAGCAAATCCAGTTTAATACTGGCGTGCGTTGAATATTGCGTCAGTGCTCAGATCAGCATTCTTTATCTCAATAGTTACCTCCCTCCTTTTAGTATCTTTAAGCGTAGGCAGTAAGCACATATTTTACCCTTAGTTTATAAGCAACGTTCACTCAATTGATGACCAATAGGCTCTGGGTAAGTCGACTCCGTTTTTAAAATGCTCAGCTAAATATTGATTGCTTTCTAAACTAAATTTGACTGCTCTCAAACCAGTGTCCACTGTTAAGCAGGTCATCTTAACATAGACTAGTGTGGGTGTCGTCAGTTTTTATTAATTATGTTTGAAAATTCATCTATAGAAGTTCTGTCAGACATTGTGATAAACCTCAGTCTATTTCCGAGGTGATTTCTTGAGATAACTAGCTCGATGGCATCAAATGTATATTGTGTATGTGTCAACATTTAATAATTCAGCAATTGTCAGAATGTTAATGAGATAAATTCAGGGAGTAGGGAATTAAGAAATAACCTTTACAATGTTCCAGAAAATATCAAACTATATTGTTTAAAGGCAGATATTGCCTTTTCAGATTTATATCTTGAGTTGCGAGTCTAGCCTAGCTGATAACATTTGGTCACACCCAGACCGCTGCAATAATCAACTATTTTATATTATCTTTGTTTATTAATCCATTATTTCTTTATAACGGCAAACTGCCTTTAATCGATTTATATCTTGAGTGTTACTTCTTCTTTTTAAGATTTTAGCTAACAAAACAAACTTGTGGTACCTGAGACCATGAATATAAAAAACCTTTCATCAACTTTAATCATTGAAATCAGGCTAAAACTGGTTCAAGTCTTAATTATATAAGTTGGATCTTTAAAAAATTTAGTTACGATTTTGTGAAAAATAATTTACAAACATAATTTTTTGTAACAATATAAGAGAAAGAGGTGGAAATGAACATTTAGTTGATCTAGATACAAAAGTACAAAAGAGCAATACATTAAAGTACATATTTACATAAGATTTCTAGCATGTAGAGCAACCTTAAAAAGAAAATAATCCCTAATCATTGATAAAACCTGTATCTGCAATAACACAAACATATCTACATTATGGGGGTTTTAAAAATAACTTAAATATTATAGTCTCGGATGTATATAAGATTTAGAAAGACTCCGTTAAAAATTCTAAAGAAAAAAACTCGTCCCCATCCCTTGTCCATAGATTCAGCTTCAAATCCAGACCAGCGTTTACACCAACATTGTATGACAATAGGAGCTGGTGAATGATCTTCATTGTGTTGGAACTAAATTTCCCTCCATACCTCAGCTGATCAACTGAATTTCTGGTATTGGAGACAGGGGGCGAGAGGTGTTGTCGGCAGCAGGTTAGGGTAAATAGGGTTAAATATAACTTAATAAACACCTTGAAACCATGAAGCCTAGCGGAGAAATCTGCAATGTTTGGCAAAGGATATCTGTCAGGAACAGTTAGAGTATTTTGACAGCAGTAATCTCCACAAGGGCCCCAGGAACCATCAGGTTTTTTCACCATGTGTAAAGGGCTGGCCCAAGGAGAGGATGATCCCTGCAGATTTCATTACTGCAAACTCCTTCCTTGCAGATTCCAGCCTTTCTGCATCAAGCCAGCAGGCTCTGGCAAACACCAGTGGGCCAGGCAAGGTAGGAACAGTATGGCAAACTGGATGCTTTGGATCTCTAAGATAAAGAAACCCTTGGAGGATACTACATCTGGGCACTGGGACAGGAGATCAAAGAACTCCTCAGGGGTAGAGAGAAGAGCTGGGTAGAGATCTGAGCTGCTATTGGACGAGTTAGATGAAACAACAGGTATATATTCCAGGGTTGAAAAGTCAACATAACCAGAAGATGATTGTGACGTAAGAAATCTGATCCCAGGATTGGCTTAGAAACGGCAGGAACCATAGGTATTCATAGGGGAACTGTCAGCAGTTCTCAATTGGATCCCTGAACCTGGAGCTGATGGAGAACGGGGCAGGTGAGGGAAAACTGACACAGAAGCTCCAGTATCCACAAGGAACTTGGCGGAACTCATCCTGTTCTTCAGGAACAACAGAGGTAGACTTGGTGGGAGAAGTATTAATAACATCCCTGCCATCACCTAGTTTCCTTAATGGGAATTTGGTGATCTACACTATGTACGCCTCTATAAAAAAAATATATGAAAAAAATCTTATCAAAGGCTATATTATGTTCGTCTTCATTGGTTTTTATCTTGAACTTGGTCTGAAGAAATGGCTCTTCATGAAGTCAGTAAATACAGTGTACCCCTCTATAGATTTAAATCTTGAACTTGGGCCTGAAAAACTGGCTCATGATAAAGGCTGTACTAAGTATGACTCTCTAGATCTAAATATTTCTTGAATAGAAATAACTCATCATGAAGGTTGAACAATGTAGGCCTCTATGGATTTAAATATATCTTGAAAATGTGTCTGAAGAACTGACTTCTCAAAAAGGCTGTACTATGTACACCTCTACAGATTTAAATATTTCTGGAACATGGGCCTAAAGAAAAACCTCATCATAAACCTGTGTACGCCTCTATAGAATAAAATATATCATGAACTTGGTCTGGAGAAATGACTCAAAATAAAGGCTGTACTATGTAAGCCTCTTTAGATTTTTATCTTGAACATGGGTCTGAAGAAATGACTCATTATAAAGGCTGTACTATGTACACCTCTATAGATTTATATCTTGAACTTTGTCTGTAGAAATGACTCATCATAAAGGCTGTACTATGTACGCCTCTTTAGAATTATATCTTGAACTTTGTCTGTAGATATGACTCATCATAAAGGCTGTGTTATGTACGCCTCAATACAATTAAATATATCTTGTACTTGGTTTGAAGAAATGACTCATAATAAAGGCTGTACTATGTACGTACACCTCTTTAGATTTATATCTTGAACTTTGTCTGTAGAAATGACTCAAAATAAAGGCTGTACTATGTACGCCTCTATAGATTTATATCTTGAACATGGGTCAGTGGAAATGACTCATAATAAAGGCTGTATTATGTACACCTCTTATAGATTTATACCTTGAACATGGGTCTGTAGAAATCACTCATCACAAAGGCTGTGTTATGTACGCCTCTATAGATTTATATCTTGAACACGGGTCTAAAGAAATGAATCATAATAAAGGCTGTACTATGTACGCCTCTTTAGATTTATATCTTGAACTTTGTTTGTAGAAATGACTCATCATAAAGGCTGTGTTATGTACATGTCTACAGAATTGAATATATCTTGAACTTGGTCAGAAGAAATGACTCATAATAAAGGCTGTACTATGTGAGCCTATTTAGATTTATATATTAAACATGGGTCTGCGGAAATGACTCATAATAAAGGCTGTACTATGTACGCCTCTGTAGATTTATATCTTGAAGACAGGTCTAAAGAAATGAATCATAATAAAGGCTGTACTATGTACGTCTCTATAGATTTATATCTTAAACATGGATCTGCAGAAATGACTCATGATAAAGGCTGTACTATGTATGCCTCTATAGATTTAAATCTTGAATAAGGGTCTGAGGAAATGACTGATAATAAAGGCTGTAATATGTACGCCTCTATAGATTTATATCTTGAACATTGGTCATAAGAAATGAATCATAATAAAGGCTATATTATGTATGCCTCTTTAGTTATATATCTTGAATTTGGTTTGTAGAAATGACTCATAATTAAGGCTGTACTATGTACGCCTCTAAAGATTTATATCTTGAACATGGATCTGAAGAAATGACTCATAATAAAGGCTGTACTATGTATGCCTCTTTAGATTTATATCTTGAACTTTGTCTGTAGAAATGACTCATCATAAAGGCTGTGTTATGTACACGTCTATAGAATTAAATATATTTTGAACTTGATCAGAAGAAATGACTCATCATAAAGGCTGTACTCTGTACACCTCTATAGATTTATATCTTGAACATGGGTCATAACAAATGAATCATAATAAAGGCTGTACTATGTACGCCTCTATAGATTTATATCTTAAACATGAGTCTGCGGGAATGATTCATAATAAAGGCTGTACTATGTACGCCTCAAGACCCATGTTCAAGATATATCTTGAACATGGGTCTAAAGAAAAGACTCATCATAAAGGTTGTACTATTTATGCCTCTTTAGTTTTATATCTTAAACTTGGTTTGTAGAAATGACTCATAATAAAGGCTATAGTATGTACGCCTCTAAAGATTTTTATCTTGAACATGGGTCTAAAGAAATGACTCATAATAAAGGCTGTACTATGTATGCCTATTTAGATTTATATCTTCAACTTTGTCTGTAGAAATGACTCATCATAACGGCTGTGTTATATATGCCTCAATTCAATTAAATATATCTTGAACTTGGTCTGAAGAAATGACTCATAATAAAGGCTGTACTATATACGCCTCTTTAGATTTATATCTTGAAATGTTAAAAATACCAAAAAATTTATGAATCAAAATAAATATGTGAATTTAAAATCTGACCTATTGACATACACTGGAAGAGTTTATTAAGGCTGACATCTATAAGATTGTTAGTGTTTGCTACAGGAACAGCAGAGGAATTGAGGAAACTCACCAAGGGTCTAAACAATACATATAATTATTATGATTAAACATAAAATGTTGCATAATTTTAAATCTTTCTCCCAACAAACCAAAAATCAGCAAAAACTATGTATATTTTCTAATTGGTCCGTCATTCTGGGGTAAGTAATTCATTTAAAATACTTAAAAAACAACCCCATTAAAATTTTTAAAAATATTTTTTTAGGAAAAGGACTTCTGATTTATTGGAGAAAATGTCGAAAAAAGCTTAAGTTTTTAACATTGCTACTATATTAAGTATATTGACAAAATTTTGTTGAATGATGGAAAAAAACTCACTGAAAAGTATTATTTACAACTTCTTCAGTCGAAATTTCCGGAGGAAGAACTGCAATAGTTCCTTCATCAGGAACCTGTAGAACAGAATACAATTAAGTAATTTTACAGATGTAAATAGTTCCTTCATCAGGAACCTGTAGAACAGAATACAATTAAGTAATTTTACAGATGTAAATAGGGCCTTCATCAGGAACCTGTAGAACAGAATACAATTAAGTAATTTTACAGATGTAAATAGGGCCGGTCTTTTAAGTCCACCTACCTGAACAAAATCAAATGCTGTGCATGGTCGAGTCTCACTGTCGAGACAAAATCTGATTGATTAAAAACAAATTGGATGGAAATTTCCTAGCATAATTTGAACCCCCCTTGGACTAATTCCTGAGTAAGCCCTTTAGTAAAATATATTTTATCATTTCGCAATAATCAGAAAACCTTTGAATCATAAACGATGCTAGTCAGAACCAAATAAATTCTCTTCATTTTGTCGGACAAATCCGCGGTCATCATGATGTGCCAGATTTCTGATGATTACAGGACACAAAATGGGGGTTGAGGTAGATCTTTCCGGTCAATGTAAAGGATTAGGCTTATGACTACCTTAAGGTATAAAGCTTGTGGGGTCCGAGCCACCATCTATATTAGGGAGGAAAATGCCAAAAAATAAAAATTGATTTGTCAAAAAAAAAAATTAACAACCCGTAGCCCCTCCAAAAAATAATTTTTTGAAAATTTTTTTCCATGAATGTGTTAGATAATAATTTTAATAATATTTTCTCTTTTCTTTGGCTCCTATATTTTTGATCAGAACTCGTCACTTTTCGCATTTCAAAAAAAAAATCAAAAAAAGGCAATTTTTGCTACCCTGTTTTGACATCAAAAACTTAAGGAATTTTTTTTCTTATTTTTTAGCGTATTCTAGGGGTAATTGGGAGTATATATTAAAAAATGGGGCTATTTATGTCCAACGAGGCCGAAGATAAAAAATCGGAGCCGACGGAGGTCACTTTTCAGAGTTTTCAAGACTCCGGAAAGAGATTTTGACAATCGAACTTCATTTCCTGCTCCTAGGCAATTATATGAGTCTACATTCAAAAATACAACCGGCTGCTGTTAATATTTATAGAGATATTACAAAATGTCTTACTTGTTACGGGGGCTTTAAAATATAAGAAAATCTGAAACATATTGCTGAAATAAAAATGCATTATTTTGGAGCTTTTAAATTTTTTTTTTAATTTAGTAGTTCAATGTCTTGACAGATCTGGACATTCATAGCCTCTCCAGATACTTTCTATTATTATGATTTAAAATGATTTTTTAAATCTGAGAAAAGCTTAACCCAACTTATTAGTCTAAAAATTGTGTATTTACAAAGCTAGAAATTGAGTGAAACCTCTTGAACTAAACAGAATGTAAAATGACAAACACAGGCATAGAGCAGCCATAAGAATACTTTGGACTCCGGTGGTTTTGTAATTTGTTCAATCCTTTGAACTGAATCAATGGAACAAAACATGAAATCCAGTTACAGGTCTTCGCAACCATGGGTTAATCCGTAAAGAAATCTAACAAAGCAATCAAATATTAAGTAATTCTGAGCAATAACTTTTCTTTTAGACAGTTGTGATACTTACCTTTTATATTCTGCGGTTACTGTGGCAAGCTTGCGTTTCCAGTATTTTCCCTCTAAATAGATCAAAAATTACACAAAGGAACGTCATTATTTCATGGGAAAATATTATCGAGATTTATTTTCCAGAATTAGTGTAAGAAATTTATTTCTTAGAAACGTATTCTTTGACCTTAAACAATTTGCTTTTATCCACAATCTGTGTTGAAAAAAATTTTACAAGTCTCATCCATTCGAATAAAATGGCCATGCAGGGGTTTGGGGTATATATTTCCTTGAAAAAAGTTCCCGCTCCCCCCTCTTTAAAATCATTTTCTATTTCCTAGAGGTGGTATTTTATAGGATATTGCAATTTTGCTTACAGAATATGACCAATTTAATGATTTTTAGGTAGAAATAAACAAATTTTAGTGTACATAAATCGAAAACAGGCTGAACAAAATATTCTTTTGAATTTAAGGTTTCCCCGAACATTTCATAATTTCTTGTAAACTTATACCCCTGCTGCCCTTTCAATTTTATCCTTAGTGATTTTACCTAAGATAGCTCCTGCCTCTGTTTTGTTATGATTATCTATCTCCAAAGGATTTCCAAATGCGCAAACACATTTTCGATGTCCTAAAAATAGGTAACGTTGAAGAGAAAATAATTCAACTGAAGCAAATTGATGAAATATAATAGCGATTTTTTTCTACTGCAGAATGTTTGTCAAGTGTATACAAGTCAAAAAAATTAAGATTTTCACTCCAGCAGCCGAGAAAGACCAAATAAAAATTTGTTTTTAAGGTGTCCGTAAATATATATATGAAGCAACTTTATTTTAGATCTTTTCTTGCGGTTCATTAAAAAAAAAAAATAGGCTTCAGATTATATATATGAGTGTACATTCTGTTGTTTGATTTTGTCTGATTTTTATCAATCTAATTAGCAATTTAATTTGAAGTTTATTTGTTTACAAAAACAACTTAATATGAACAATTGTAAAAATGTAAGGATTAAGTTTCTAACCTTTAATAAACTGCATATGCCAGCACCTCCAGATCACATTATTAAGCCGAATTTTATCCTTCCATCGTAGCTTCATTCCACGAAAACGGTTCCATTTGGGAGATGTCAATTTTTGTCTGTATGCTAAATATTTAAAAATTTAAATGGGATATTTACAGAGGTATTCATTTTCTTCAAAAATATCCTTT